TGTCGTTGTGGTATCTGGGATCTTTGAGCCCTGCAGTCATGTTTGCCCCAGCCAGTATTGTGGGTTTCTTTCCATACCTCCGGAAAGGAAAGCTACAAGTGTGCATACAGAAATGAAGCATGGCCTTTGATCCAAGAGCCCTTGTCGGTAGGTAAGGAGACAGAGAGAAGAGAGGCTGATGGGCTCGGAGCCAAGTTGAAATGCCAAAGTCTGGGCATGTGCCACCAACATCTTATTACATATTTAAGCCACAGCGGCAGGGTGTGATGGACAGGTAGTGGGTGTGCGCATGGCAGCATTTCCAACGTTTCCTCATTGCTGTTCAGGACCACTCCATAAGGAGTTGGCCCTTGAGATCGGCTCCTGATTCTGGCGTGATAAAGATCCCAATTGGCAAGGGGGTCAGGCAAAGCTGCATTTGATCACCTTATTTATTCAACTTGTATGCAGAAAATATCATATGAAGGGCAGGTTTAGACATGGAAGAAGAAGAGATAAAGGTAGGAGGAAGGAACATCAGCAATCTAAGACATGCAGATGAGACCATACTACTAGTGGAAGACATCATGAATTTGAAACAATTACCAAGGAAAGTCATATAATAAAGTGCAAAGGCAGGCTTGTTATTGAACATAAAGAAAACAAAAATAATGACCATGGAGGATCTACATACATTCAACCTAAAGACTGTAGTCAAGAAATCAGAAGAAGACTAGGAATGGGAAGGGCAGCCATGAAAGAACTGGACAAGATCCCAAAGAGTAAAAATATATAATTGAACACTAAAGTGAGGATTGTCCAAACCATTATATTCCCCATCACTGTGTGTGGATGTGAGAGCTGGACAGTGAAGAAAGTGGGCAGGAAGAAAAATCAATTCATTGGAGATGTGATGCTGGAGAAGATTGCTGAGGATACCTTGTATGATTGAGAAGACAAAGAAATGGGTCCTAGAGCAGATCAAGCCCGAAATCCCTCAAGATAGTCAAATTGAGGCTGTCGTACTTTGGCCACATCATGAAGAAGGTATGAAATTCATTAGAAAAGGTACCTTATTTTCCTGCGTATAAGACTACTTTTTAACCTGCAAA